GAATGTCCAGTACCTCCCCCAGGGCAAGGAGTTTCACAATGGGTGATTTAACTCTAGGAGTCATGGGATATTTTTGGAATCTTTGATGATCTAGGTCTTGCAGCTGCCTGTTATGCCAATCCAGTATGATCCATTAGCAGAGATGACCCCTCAGGCTGGGTGTGAAGGTGCTAATGCCTCCCCGGAGAGGAGTTATCACAGCTGAGTCATTGGTGTGAAGACAAAGAAATACTCCCCTGCCTCAGCTTGTAGCCTGAGGTGTCAAGCCAGTCTGAGCTGCCCTGCGCAGCTGCTGCAAAGGATCCATTAGTAACAGTCCATCAGAAATAGCATAGAGGTGTAGAATACAGAGTTTTGGTTATACCCACACAGTGATAAACTGGACCTGGCCCCTGTAACTAGGACACCTGATTTTGTTGTTTGGTGGGGATTTGTTAGTTTGTTTTCCCAAAGCAATAACTTGCACCGAGCAGCCATGAAACTTCTTTCAGGATAGATATTCAGTGAGCCCTTTGTTATGTGTTTTATGTGTTTTGTGTGTTTTGACTTGTTAGAACTTTGTCTCTTGAGTTCCTCAGTACGCTGAACAACTTTCTTGCATGAAAGTTAGCATTTTACGTGTTTCTGGCAACCATACAAATCCTTTTGAAGGTCCTGAGTATGCAAGTTGCCAGCCTGTGTCAAAGACTTCCCCATAATTAGAGTCCATCTTGGGCAGTGACCATGAAATGAGAGATTTTTCAGTTTTTGAACAAGTAAGGAGGTAGAGCAGAACTGCCTTCTTGGACCAGAGAGCAGACTTTGGCCTGTGGAGGAGACTGTTTGACGGAGTCCCTTGGGAGGCAGCTGAGAAGGGCAAAGAAGTCTAGGAAGTCTGGACATTCTTTAAGAGAGAAATCTTTAAGGTGCAGGAGCAGGCCGTCCCCATGTACCAAAAGATTAGGTGGCAAGGAAGACCTGGCTGAACAGAGAGCTTGGGCTGGAACTCAGGGAAAAACAGGAGATTTTGTGACCTTTGAAAGAAGAGGCAGGAAATTTGGGAGAACTACAAGGGTGATGTAAGGTTATTCAGGGATAAAAACAGAAGGGTTAAATCCCAACCAGAGTTTAATCTGACTAGAGCCCTAAAAGACTATAATAAAATAAATAAATAAAAACTATTTCTGTAAATACATTACCAGCAAAAGGAAGGCTGAGGATAATCTCCATCCTTTATTGGATGCAAGGGTAAAGAGTGACAAGGGATGAGGAAAAGACTGAGGTGCTTAAAGCCTTCTTTGCCTTAGTGGAAAATTAATAGCAAGACCAGTTGTTTTCGGGGTACCCAGCCCTATGAGCTGGAAGACAGACACAGGGAGCAGAATGAAGCCTCCCTAATCCAAGGACAAATGCTCAGCGACCTGCTATACCACTCAGACAAACTCAAGTCTATGGGATCAGGTGGGACACAAGAGGGTACTGAGGGAGCTGGCTGAAGAGATCACTGAGCCACTGTCCATCATTTACCAGTAGTCCTGGCTAACCAAGGAAGTCAAATGCAACACCCATCTACAAGAAGGACCAGAAAGAGGAGCCAGGGATCCAACGGCCTGTCAGCCTGACCTTGGTGCTGGGGAAGGTCATGATGTAGAAGGTCATCTTGAATGCCATCATACAACACATAAAGGACAACCAGGGGATCAAGCCCAGACAGTATAGGTTTGTGAAAGCAGGTCCTGTTTGACCAACCTGATCTCCTTCTATAAAAAGGTGAGTCACTCGAGTGTATGAGGGAAAGGCTGCAGATGTTGTCTACATGGACTTTAGTAAAGCCTTTGACACAGTTTCCTACAGAATTCTCCTGGAGAAACTGGACTCCCATGGTTTGAATGGGTATAGTTTTGCTGGGTACAAAGCTGGCTGGGTACAAAGCTGGCTGGATACCTGGCCCAGAGAGTGATGGCGAATGGTGCTACCTCCACTCAGTGGCTGATCATCAGTGGTGTTCCCCAGGGCTCAGTTTTGGGGCAAGTCTTGTTTAATATCTTTATCAGTAAGTCTGCAGGTGACAAACTTCGGTGGGAGTGTTGATCTGCTGCAGGGCAAGAAGGCTCTGCAGAGGGATCTGAACAGGCTGGATCAACAGGCCATAGAGTTACAGAGAACTTGTAAAGAGTCTTTCCACATAGAAGAGCCTGAATTGAAAAAATTCAGATGAATGTTTACCAGTTAAAGCTGAGCAGAATTAGAAGGATAATTAAAATTTCAGTATATTGTAGAGAAGGATATGTGGTCATTGGGCTAGAAAAATAAGTATTTTAATTAGGTCTAACAATAAGTCATTGTAGCAATGTATTATTTTGAAATCTGTATATGATGAAATCATAACAATGTAAAGTAGTCTGACCTCAAGATCATTATCTAATTTTCAGGGTTAAAAAATTATTCTCACAATCAAGAGCAGGGAGAGTTATGCAAAGATTTTAATTGCTTTTTTCAAAGTTTTCAACTACAGAAATAGATGCTTTTTCTGAGCATGAGTGAATGAATGCTGATGCCCTTTCCTCTCTCTCTTCTAATTAAACACTTCCCACTTCACTTCTGCTCTGCCAGCTCTGATGAAAGTTTGGAAGTCAACAAAGAAGCAAACAGCAAGAAGGTAAAGAAAAATCGAAAGATGGGGGAGGAGATAAACAGTGATGGAATATATGGGAATCAAAGGCACAAAGCAAAGATGTACCCAATTTATACCAGGGTGATGAGAAGCCTGTCAATAAACAACACTTGAGTCAATGGTGTTTTTCAGAGTGTATCGATATGGACTGAGTGGAAAGGTACCCTCCTCTACCTTTACTTAGCATACTGTTTCACCAAGATCTTTATCTGTCCAGAGCAATTTTATTATTTCATAATCTACCATACAATATTTTCAGACCCTTGCAAGGCTTGTAAAACTTGGTACTAACCCTAAATTACATATTTTCAAACACACAAATATCAGAAATTCCCTGAGCTTCACAATGCTAAAAGCAGAGTAGCTCTGACCAGTGACAGGGAGAAGATACTGTTCTGACTCTCTGTGGCCATCCTCCTGTATAATAAAGCATTGCTTGTACTTTAAAAGTGAAGAGAAATATCACTGAGTTTTAAATATTACAAGGAAATATTTCCTAAAACATTTTCTAAGGGTATTTATTTAATTAAATATTGTACATAAATACAAATCCTCACATGTAGATGCTCACTGAGGATGAGGTATTGAAGAAGAAATTATGATTTTATATGAATCCTGAAGTAGAACTTGCACAGGACTTAAATGGTCCATCAGTTTTAATTGTGGTTTGTTTCAAGGGTTCCACAGTGGATCAAGGAGCTCAAAAACTTAAGTGTTGGCTCATCTTTAAAGGGCAAATGCTAGATTAGACACCATGTAAAAGCCATGCACACAGACAGTAGAACTTTCAGATCCACAGCAACAAATAATTAATTCATTACAGTTGTGACCTGAATTAATGTTAATTAACTATTGTTAATCCACATAAACTAAAATACAAACCTGTTGACCAGCCTGTTCTGCCTTTTTTGTTGTTGTTGTTGTTGTTTTTATTTATTTTTTTTTTACTTTTAGAGCTCTGAGACACTGCTTCTGATTCACTCCTGTTAAAATATGAAGTAACAACATAGTTTATGGTTTGATTGTTCCTAATAATTAAAAATCAAGTCGTCTCTGGGCAATTTAAATATGACTAGCAGTATAGTTTCTAGTTAATTAATCTATGCAAAATGATATAGTAAATTTGAGCATCTGCCTGTGTCTATTTAAGCAACATAAGTAATTTACTGAACTGAAACTTCTTCATGATTCCCCATCACTGTGTCTGTTGATTAATCAAGGAAATATAATTTAGTAACTATGTCATTTTAATCATTATGGAAGAACTTTGTACTTTATAATTCATACATACTTACTTGCAAGTGTAATATGTCGGAGCAAAGTCCATTAGAATAAGCACAGTGTGAAATAAGGAATATGCAATTTTGCTGTGTTTGTGATAGCACACTGGAACTGATTTATTCACTTGGACTTAAGTAGCAGGCAAAGTACAATTGTAGAGAGTGAGCTCATTTATTTGTGTTCTTCCTTGCCAGTCTTCACTTCCAAGAGGTAAGGTGCATGCCCAGGGGTGTTTTCTTTGGGTGCTTTCTTAATACTTTATATTACCAACTTCTACTCTGGAATCAAACAGATATGTAAATAACTTCAATGTTATGAAAAAGAAAAGGCTGACTCATTTAAAAATGCTAAAAGAAAGATGAAACTGTTAAAAAAATAACTCCAGGTTGAAGGTCAAATTTCATGAAGTTTAATTATGCTTGTGGGTTAAGTTTTGATTTCCAGTCATTTAAAATTTAATAATTAATAATAGCAAAAATAATAAAAGCCTTGAGGGAAAAGGATACGTGACAGTAGGAAATACAGGTACGGCAAACTTAAATGCTTGAAGGGAAGCACTGTGCCAAATTTCATGGAAGGTAGTTTTCCAGTTTATTATGATCCTAATGTCAAATGACCAACTTTGCATAAAATAGCAAATTATATGTTAATAGTAAATCATAGTTATTGCTGAATAGTTTTAGGTAGCGTAGAAAATTCTGTTTTGCTGGTGTTTTGTATGGTAAGTATAAAACTTAAGTCTCAAACCTGAGCTTTATTACAATGATTTATCTTGAACATTTAAAAAAAAAAATATGCTGAATATTTTTTCACTCTGGAAAACTCTTTGCTGAATCTGCTACTAAGTCATTAGATTTATAAGGAATGTGGTCTTGTTGCAGCATAAGCCACTGTGGAGGATATTGTCCTCTGCAGACTGTGTGCTCACACTGGCAGGAAATAAGCTCTGACTGAAGAGCTGTTTGCTAGATCCATATTCTGCCTTCAGCACAGTCACTGTGGGGAGCCCAGTCCTCATAAATAAAATTAAGAAAAAAATTTAAAAGATTAAATTTTTTGGCTGGAGACTAAGTAAATGAGAGTATAGGAAACATTTGTTATCCTGATTCAGTCTATACTGTCATTGATACAGAAACTCCTTTTCAGAGAATCTGGGATTTGCCTAGGTGAGGACCCCAGGACCTAGTCTAGTAATAGCCTAATCCTTCTTGCTGTATTGGATGGAGGGTTACAAGTTCTGTAACCCAAAAGCTCAAACCTGTTTTAATTCAATATATTGCACTCTGGATTTTGGAGAGGCTAAAGGAAAGTTCTTTTTGATTTGTTTATTGAACTTCTGGGTTTTTAAATCTGTTTTAAACCTGTGACCTGTTATTTAAACCTGTAGATAGAAATTCACGAAAAGCATAGTTCAGCTGTGCTTAAGTGAATTTTCCTGTGCATGGAAACATACCTAGCACTAAGAAAACCCTGTCTTTGAGAACTGTTTGAACTACAGTCAGCAGAGCTAATGTTACTGTTTCTGCCAATTTGACCATTGGTGTCTCACTGTAGTTTGGACTCAGGAAATAAGACAAATTCAACTCTGATAAATATAAGATGTGCTTTTTTCTTTTGTCATTACATTACTCTTGATAGCTTTTTTCATTGCCCAGCATGGCACAAGGTGACAGAGGTGAGAGATGTTCTAAGTGTCACAGCACAGTGCTCTCTGTCACAGGAATGACTAGTCAGAAATGGGGTGTGAGACACTAGGAAAGGAGAGGTACCTCAAAGATGGAAGAAGCCAATTATGACAGATCCCTACTATGCTGAAGCTAGGTATTTCAAAGCCTTTCTCCTTCAGGATTTCCATACTAAAAGTCCTAAATATTTCCATTTTCGGCTCTAGTCTGTGTTACAGTTCTGTATTTCTGCAAGAGGACTGACTCAGAAGGAAGATGCTGTTGACGAGCTCAACAGGATTTATGCTGTTCTTGCTCTCTCAATGCACTGTGTCACTGAGCACCAAAGAGGCAGTGGTCCTGGCTAATGCCCACCTTCTCCCCCAAAGAGACTATGAGAGACTGGGTAACGCCAATGAAAAAGGTACTCACAAAGACAGTGAGAGATTTGGATGCATGCTGTGTTTTACTTTGTTGCTTTGCTATAACATTTTCAGCTGACATATTTGAAAGTTAGCCCTGAAAAAATAGTTTGCAATATGAATATGTCCTGCCCCAAATCTTTAAAAACCTTGCTTTACAGCCATCTAATTAAGAGAAATTAACATATTGTTTGGTTTTTGTGGATTTTTGTTGATGTTGTTTTGTTTGGTGGGCGGGTGTTTGGTTTTGTTTGGTTGTTTATTATTTGGTTGGTATTTTTAAATAAAATTCTATGACATTTGAAGACTTATTCTTAGAACAATCATACCTAGATTACATCTTACCACTATTGGTACCTAAAACTGAGGCAACCCTCTGCCTATCTAGCTTTCAAGATCCAGCTTGGTAGGTTTTTAATACATTTACCAGAGTAGACCTCACATAAAATGTACACAAAGAATAGTGGGACTGATTAATTTTTATCCCCTGACTAATGGCACTTCAGGATTTATAAAATTCACTTTCCAAGTTAATCTTATAACAATCAGCCTAAATAATTTTCTCATTATCTGTCTATAGAAATTGTTCTGTAATGTTCAGTGACAGGGGCAAATACAAGTGTCACTGTGTATATCACTGACTTGGACATAACTATATACATGACTTAAATAATCCTTCTATAAAATCATGGGATCCGGTTTGGAGGCAGGCAGGCAATGTCTACCAGGCAAATGTTCTAACATCTGGGGTACAGAGTTGCGTACACACGTCTGCTCTTTCAGGATATTTAATAATGTCATGCAGATAGTACTGAGATTTAAATTAATTCTATTCATGGCTGTAGATTCTATTAGGAAATGAAAGGCAGAAAATTTAAAACCTCAGAAATCCTATATACTCCTGTAAATCTGTCCTGAGTGGCTTAGAAGTATAAATAAACTTCTGAATATCAAATATAAAAGACTATATTGAATAATTATTTAATGGGTTTAATGAATTAATTAATTAATTAATAATTATTAAAGAATTAATTTAATTATTCTGGATTTCTACAAAGCATACGATACAAAACAATATTAAATCAGAAATGGTAGAGCTACATTGAGATTGAAAAGAAAATGGCAATGAGTTGGGTAAAAAAGTAAGCCATAAAGTCAAGGTCAGACTGGAAGTATTTGCTTCTTAGTGATCTTTTCAGTATTCTTACGGAGTACACCAGTGCAGAAATAGGAATATGATGACAGAATTTAATGATACCATGAGGTGAGAAATGCAAATAGAAAAAGTAGGAATATTATGTAGAAAACCCTCCAGATGTTTTTAAGTAATACCACTGAGAAGAAAAATAGAGTACAAAAGGTTAGGTTTTGCTGCAAGGTGAGGACCTTACCAGTTTCAAAGAACCAAACTCCAGCTTAAAGAAAACTAAGCAGTACAAATGCAATCCTAGAAAATATCAACAAAGATGTTTTAGTAAGACTTTCAAAGAATCAGAGTTACTGTATAAGGCCATCTGCAATACTGTGTGCAAATTATACCCACATTCGAGGAGATTATGCAATGAAGAGGTGAAGAAAAGCTACTAAGACAAAAAAAGAACTGAAGATTTGTCTTAGATGAAATAATAAAAGAAATTACTTATCCTAACAACTTATCCTAACAAAACAAAGACTTGTTAAAAATATAGTTTTTGTCATGGTACATGGGGGCTTATTACCCAGGAAGAAGCACTTATTTAACAAAAGAACACTGGGGCACAAGAAAGATGACGATGGACAGTGGAAGCCATTAAAATTAGATTGGGAATGAGATGAGGAATTCTATCAGCGTATTGACAGTTATTGAAGTCTACAACACTTCAGTTGGAAGAGAAGAAATTTAATTATTCTGTGAGAAGGCTGGTCCCTATAGGACGAGTAGTAGATAAAATAGTCACTCATGGTCCCCTTCTCTTTCCAGAAAGTTGGGGGCACTTTTTGTTGTTGTTTTTGTTTGTTTGCTTTTTACACTAACCAGACTGTTCAGTGCATTTTTGATCTGTTGGTCATGAGACCATACAATACCACTTCTGTTGCATCATGGGGTAATGAACCTCTTTTTGCATTTCTGAATACTTGCTGCATCTTCTGTCCTGAAGTCTTCCTCCTTTAGCTGAGTGAGTGCCAACCATCTGGGATGAAGTCAGAGTCAGCTTCCAATCAGAAGGCAATCATTCACTTACGCTAAAGGACAGAGTTCAAATTCTAAAATTCATTATTTGAACAGAAATTAATTTTGATTATTTTTTTTCTCAGACTATCCAAGAGATTGTTTTGAGATTTTTCAGCGCTCCAAAGGAAATTCCAGAGATGGTCTTTACATCATTCAACCAAAAGAGGACCCTATTGTTGTCTCTTGTAACATGCAGGATGGTGGCTGGACAATAATCCAGCACATTACTGCCAACAGTACTGTCGACTTTGACAGGACCTGGCAGGACTACAAATATGGATTTGGCTCTGTTCATGAGAACCACTGGTTAGGAAATGAATATATGCATCAATTAACTAGCAGCTCTGTGCAATATATACTTGGAGTTAAACTTGTAAACCTAAATGCTGAAATTAAATGGGGACAGTATGAACCATTCCTTATTGAAGGTGAGGAGTCTCAATACCGCATTAGGGTTGGTCTATACAAAGGTAATGCCACTGATGCACTGACCCTGGACACAGAAGCTTATCTCCATGACAACCAGAAGTTCACCACCAAGGACAGAGACAATGACAATTACTTTCTGAATTGCGCTAAACTGGAACTCAATGACATTCCTGGGGGAGGCTGGTGGTACGACGCATGTGCTGGAGCAAATCTAAACCGTAGGAACATGATATACTGGCAAAAAGACTGCAACAAGCAACGCCTGTGCAAGTTTGCATGGATGATGATCAAACCCATTGAGCACCACCTGTCATATCCATCAAAGTCCTGCCCGTGTCAGAAAGTTGAACTGTAGATAAGCTGTGTGTACTTCGGAAGGAACATGGACTTTTTGTCCAGTGACTGAAGTGAAGTCACTGACTCAACAATCACACTAAGTAAACATGACTGAAAATAAATTGGGCCTCTGCAAGGGCTTTATGATAACATATCATCCGGGACTGGACCATGTCATAGAAATACGCCAACAACACAAGTGAGAAACTGTCAGAAACTGAGGCCTCTACCACAAGATTTAAAGAACCCGAGGATTTAAAAAAATCATTTTATAGTATTTTAGCCATAAGACAAGGCAGGTATGAAATCCAGGATACAATGTCTTATACAATATATACGTGAATATAAATGCATTTCAGAAGGTTTTTTTCCAGTATCAATGTTCATGATTGATCTCCTATAATTGCACATCTTCATATATCATGCATGAGAGAAATTTCCAGTGAAGTGCCCACATTTACAAAATGCATATTGAAGAGTATTGTGTACCATAGGGCAGCAACAGGCCTTTTCTTTATAACTTTAGTGAACTGTATTTTAATTTATAAAATTGGAATTACCTTATCTCCCATGGCTTCTTTCCCCATTCACTGACTCTTTTTTATCTCTACTTTTTAATGACCCCATATGCACTGAAATACTCAGCATAGGCATTTCTTTTCTTCCTTCAGTTTAGAGCACCCAGCACTAATGGGATTGTCAGCTTTGCCATTTAAAGTTGCTAATCCAAAGCTTACAACCCATCTGAATTTTTCCCCAAGAAACTCAGAGAACACATGTTTTAAAAGATCAAATGATTTTGCAACTGTTTATTTATTGCTTAATTTTTTAGCCATCACTTCACTTTATTTATCATGATTTGACTGTTGCTTCTCCCTGTTCCATGATGTGCTTCAGCTTTCTCTTTTCTTAATACCACCGTGAGAAAGAAGAGAACACAGGCTTTATTTCACATTTGCTTACCTTCAACTGTTTTGGTACTCAGACTTGACATTATTTAAACAATGTCTTTTTTCTAATTATAAAATAAAAATTATATATATTTCTGTTTTAAAATAATAAATAAAAGAATTTTAGCTTTGATAACCTCGAAGACCTTGCTTTCTTTTACCTCTGTTTGAGTTCATTCACACATTTCTATACCATTGAAATTGCTAGATGATAACTGAGGAGGTTTTATTGTTGCATTATACAAAGTGTCAGGATAATAATTAGATTATCATGTATGTTTTCTTAGATATTTCAGTTACAGAATTTAAAATATGATGAAATATCATTTTCATGAAAATTGCTTCACAGAAAATAAATCATATTGTGTTTTGAGAAGACTATCAGTATTATTTAAGAAGAAAAATTAATTGGAAAGCAGAAAAGCCAAGAAAGCAATATTTATTTTTTCAGGATGCACTGCAACATTTTCAGAAAGAGATACAGATATGTTACGTGGGTGAGGCCGACATAGCACACGTCAATTTTGCAGCATTTGATTTTTTTTCTCCCCTGAATTTGTGTTCAAAGATAGAAGCGTGATACAGAAAGAAATAGTACGTGAATTGAGTTTTATATCGTTGAGTTAATTTAATGTAGGTTCTGCTGTAACTCTACCAGGATACCTCCAAAGTTGTAATGAGGATACAAGAAAATCGCCTGAGTGCTGCCAGTCTCCCTTAACTTTTATTTGAATTCCTGGCCATATAGCCAGATTCACACACCTTCCAAAAATGTGTTTTGAATAACCTTAACATTGAAGTGCATAACAGAAAGTCCATAGGCTACATCTGATCATCAAAGGCAAGTAACCTGCTCTGCAGCCCACCCTTGGCCTGTTTTGGAGAGTTTTGAAATAAAGGGCTCTGCAAATAAGTTGTATAAATGAGTTGGACACTGGCAGCCCAAATCCAGCTGCCCAGTTCTGTAGGGACTCTGGTATTAACTGGAGTCCTACAAACCTATGCTGATAATACAGTCCAGTATAGGAACTAGATAAAAATAGAGTAAAAACTCATTAAAAGTCTACCATCAAGAGAAAAAAAAAAAAAAGTTATTAATTCAGATCAAACAAAGACATTTAATGGAACTCAGGGACTGAGGTACATTCCACACTTCTAAACAAAATATGGATGGATATTACTATTGGAGCTGAATTTGGGACTATGAATATTCAAAAACATCCACCACCATGGAACCTTTAGAAGTGGACTATATTCTACTTCATAATTCCCTAGCTAAAGGGATCTATCTTAAGATTATCTTAACAGATTTTTTTTCTTCCATTGCTGAACCTAAATCACCAGATTGCAGAAAGGCAGTCCAGAAGGCAGCCGGCCTTCAACACTCAATCAGTAAAATCTCAGACTGAAGCATGAAGGTTTCCATTCTGTCTACTCCTATTTTCTTTTCCCCATCACATTTCTCCTATGTTCTCTCTCTCTTAGCCTTTCCTGATTATACTGCCACCTGCAGTATAAAAAAAGGAGAGTCTTCCCACGAATATCTGTTGAAAAAAATGTATTTGGTCAAATAAATATTTTTCCAAAATTACAAGATCTAGAGTAATAAGTTCCAGCTCCAAGCATCTGTGAATGGGAGAGGTTCCCTTTTTAACAAGCAATCTCCTAACAATTGCAATGAAATAGTTTTCTTCACCTCTTTGCTACTTTGCATTTCTCCCTATCCTGTTTTCTCAACTGCAGGAAAAGTAAGCACATTTTCATGTAAGATACCACATTAATCGACTCAGAATTTATTTTTGTCTTTAAAAATCATTCAGTTTTCATATAAGAAAGTGCATGCTTTTTTTTCTGGTTTCCCAGCCTTTCATGTGACTTTTTTTATGTGTTAACCATAGGTTTAAAAGTATGACAGAGTGGTTTTAGGGCTGAAAATACTGAGCATCCATAAATTAAGAACATTTGCTGCCTCTCATCATTTTTATATCCTAGAATTAACAAGGAGTCCTTTAGTCACTCTAACATCTTCTGCACTTCAGAAGGCATCAGGGCCCAGGCAGAGTTGAATGCAGCTGTGCTCCACAGCTGGTATTCTTCTCTGCACCCTCTTTCCACTCTTCCTCCTACAGCTGAGGAATTGCACACCTAAGGAGGCCTTATGGAGAGCACACAATAAAAACAACTGTCTGACTTCCACTATGTCTAGGTAGCTCCACCATGTAAGGAGTAAAAGATCTTATAGTTTATATCTTGGCATTGTAATCCGGGGATTCAACATAACCCCCAAACTTAAAAGGTCTACTGAAACAGGAGCCATCAGCAAATAGGATTTGGAGAAGTACCTGTTGAGAAGAAAACTTTTGAAAGACTTTAAAGATTTGGGTTTTTTTAAGGAAGTCTGACTTTGATATATCAGCAGATACAGATAGAAACTAATGGCATTTAGTGGCTAATCGCAAAAGTATTGAGTAAAAGGCAGCACTTTTACTGAGTGTAATGAAAACTGAAGTTCCTTGATTCTGAAGAAATACATTTACCAAGATAGAAAGAACAATTGCAACATCATTGCTTTCTGAAACCACTAATAGTCACAGATTGTCTCATGTTTTACAACACAATGTTATCAATTTTTTTAAACTAGTTATAAATATGGCATCACTATTAACAAAATAATAAACAAGATGCTTATTTGAATGGTCAAAGTTTAAGGCATTGTGACACTCAACTGTTAATTGTGTGTGGAAGAAAATGTCTTAACAGGTTCAAAAGGCATCAACCGAGACTTGGGATGACCATGTATGAAATGGCCTCTTCCTGATTTGGTAGGGGGAAAGCCAAGTATTTGAGTGAAAAGACATAATACCCATTTCTAGAGTTACAATTTAGAGGCTGTTTCAAAACAGAAAAGCCACTGACTACCCAGCAGCAGCAGGAGCATTACAGGAACCGATGGAGGCCTTCGAGTCCCCAAGGCAAACACTGCGGGCATTTCAGAGCAAAGACCTGACCCTAGTCTGTAGCTCATAAAAGTAGTGGATGTGGGCCATTCTTATGGGGTTTTTGTTTGTCTGAGTTTTTTTAAACCTTCTGTAATATCAAAAAGAAGGAAGCAGTATGGAGTTTTTTGGGGAGTTTTTTTCCAACAGAAGAGCACCTAAATGTATACACTTCACAGCAAACTGACTGTAGTAACTCCAGCTTGATTGTTAGGTACAACTGAGGAAAGAGGTTTTTGTTTCTTACAGCAGTAATTATGTCCCTGAAAAATTAGAGAGTAACTTTAAAAAAGAAGCATCCAAAAATTCTCCTTCAATATGAAGATTTTGGGAATCCAAAACTATGAATGGTCACTTTGGAAACTGTTTCCTACCACAAGTAAAGAAGCATCTTACAAAATCCTTTTCAAAATCCAGAATCTCACTAAAGTCTAGAGGTATGAAATTCAGATTTAAACTGGGTATCCAATTCTATAACAACTACATTGTATGAGAGAACAGCACCTTCCAAACAATATGGGATTCTTTATTGGTTGTAATGACTTCTCAGCTAAATTTAACACACCACACCTCAGTGAGATTTCTATTCCTTCAAGGATGTGACTATCCTTACCTGCATTTGCATTAAGATTTATCAGTTAAATTAGTTTGACATGTCCAGGTTATCTGTCAAATATGACAAGGAGGCAATGTCACAGATTACTGAGAAACAGCCCTATGTGCAAGATAAAATGATCAGAATCACAGATGGGGACTTTTCATGAGACTTAGCTCTGAAAATGGAACAATATCTAAAGTGTGAAAAGAAAGTACAGTGAAGTATTTTGCCTTGAAGTCCATCACTGCCTCTGGATCTAGACTGCTCAAGTCCATATATCCCAGTGCAGGCCTCATTAGGGATACAAATGAGATGAGGAACAAAAATCTACATATAAAAATAATTGTCAACAGTTAATAGCAGTTAATAATTAACACAAATAGTTGAGTAGGATAAGCATTATTGGCAAATGAATTGTATAATTAATGGAAAAATATTCTCCATCATATTTTACAGGTTCTTAGGCTATTTTCTCTGTAACTTTTTTGATTTCATTCTTTTTCAATTCAACAAGATTTTTTCTATAAAGGAAACCCTTGCATTTATGGTCTATCATGACCTTTCTGTCCTTTGCAAAGCTCTTTACTCTAAGTAGTCACAGAAAGTGCACAATTGTATCCAGGTGTTCTATAGCTGTTTAAAAATTCTGGGAACTATTCCAAGTATTTAACTACAAACGTAAACTATATTTCCAGAAAATTAATGTTAGCTGATAATTTATGGGGATCTGGAACATGCAGGGAGGCTGACATATATGAAAAGGTAGAGGCAAAAATCCTACCCCCAGTTTGTGGGAAAATTCAATGCTCAAAAATATAAAAGGTGCTGGGTCTCTGAAAAGCTTGGTTAGGGATGTATATTTATGCAACTATATTGATAATACATACATATATATGTATATGTATGTATGTGTATGTAATTATGTATAAATAAAATGTAATCTTACAAAAAAAATTTCACTAGTCCATGACCATAACCAATTATAGGATCAGTAAAAATTTCATTAAAAGTACAGAAATACAGATAACAAGATTGTCCTATACACTGCAAAAGTCCCACAATACTGTTCAAAGGTACAAAATATAATTAAGTACTAACTGATACTCCGATGATAACCATATTTGTCTTTTTGTGATTTTGATTTCTTTTTTTAAGAAAAAACATCCTACATAACAATAAAGCAACACACACCTCTTTATATAATTCTTGATATTTACAATGTACTCATGTTTGGCCATGTAATCTCTTACATGACAAGTGCTAGCAGCATAATTTGAGTACATATTTCACAATTACATTAAACCAACATTGTTGCATCCATCACCATGTATTCTAATACATTTACTGAGCACAGAGTCCATGAACATTTACAGAACATTCTTCAACAGAAACTGAAACCAACAAAAAATATCCTGTTTAATTTCAGTAGAAGCCAATGCTTCATTTTAGTAATAACAGTGCAGCTAGCAGGAACTGTTACTACCTCATAAATTTTGCCATTAACTACAGCTTGTGCCCCAGAGGGGCACATTCATTTGCTTAAAATCAAGCATAGCTTACTGAATGTCTGATCCAATGTAATATAAAATAAACCCACTATAATAACCAATTTGTACATAGTTACTGTACACAGGAAAAGCTCTGGATAGTGACAGAGCAAGGTTGATGAAAGGGTCTTTATAAAAACCTCTGCTTTCCTTTAATAAGTAATCATATGCTAATGCACAAAAAATAATAGGCACAGTATGGTGCATTACAAAATCTATTGTGACTTTAGAGAACATACTTCTACATTATTACACTGCCAATCTTTCACTGACACAATTTTGCCCTGTGAAGACTGGGGGTAAAGGAAGCGTTAATTACTTTTACTGTGGTTGTTGAAATGGTAGAATTATTTATCTATAGGGAAACTTTTTGATGGTATGATAATTTAATAAATTATACAAACAATTTCACTGAGAGCAATGGTACATTCATGATGACTAATACAATCCCTGAAATGTGCAACTGGGTCATGTCACCACTATAATGTCCAACTAGAGTGTATAGTAGATATTATATGAAGATTGTCCCAAACTAATATTCCAGAGTATCTCATTCAGAATTTTAATAGAAAGGCTAGAACTGAATTTGAACTTTAAGTACTCGAAGATCTTTCTCATTTATTCATAAACATTTGTTTCCATTACGTCTTCATTCCTCATGACTCCTGTTGCCATTAACTTTGTTTTCACATGGCCTTTTCTGAGGCTTCTTATTTGCTCCTGCCAGAAGGAGGCAGGTCAGTACCTCTGTTCCAATGGCCTTCTGCTGAAGGCAGCCCCTTGCTTATGCACTCAGTCAGTGCTGCAGGACTTCTGCCAATCTATCGCAGACGTCAGTCAGGCACAGGCAGTTTGGCCCCGGTGCCAAAAGCCACAGCAAACCTCAGCCAGTGGCCAGTGCCTCAGGTCATTGTAACTAGGCCAGTACAACCCAGTCCCAGAAGCTAAAGCCACCTGAGGGGTTGACTCCAGCCCCCAGTACTGTAGCAGATATAGTTCTACCAGACCAAAAGAGAGCGCCTGAAGGTACCGTGTGTTTCCAAGCAGCTGACGCTGACTAGTATTTATAAAGCTATTCAAAGACAAAAAAAATTGCAAAGCGTCCTTAATATTTTTATAGAAATATTCAAAAAAAAAAAATCTTCTTCCAGGGATGCCAATTCTGTCACTTTTTATATATAGGTAGTAAACGTACAGTGCACCAATACATATTTTTCTCTTGTTTTGCGTTATTCCATCAGTAATGGAAAATTTTGGGCTCAGGGGAAGCACAACAAAGGTGATATGGAAAAAGGCTTTCCTTGTGTTGTAGATAGAATGTATCCATTATGCTTTACAGTCAGTTCTGATTTATACCATTGTCAGTATTGCATAAAATTTTAAAATTTCCTTCAGAGGTACTGGGAACTGGAGAAATTTAGAGATATCTGCTGATCAACACCATTTTTGCAGATGACAGTGACTTGCATGATGGATTGGAACTGAGATTGGGACTGGCTTTTTCATATACAAAATACATTAGCTATTCCCTTCACTATTAGCCCTTCCAGTGTCTCCACAAAAGTCCTCCTCGAAGTGGGAATTTTATCAGTATTACAATCTCCTGCAATATGTGTGTTCATTTTGAGTATTATTAATCTCCCTAAACATTTATTATTGGGCATGACAGCATTTATCCCTTTACACATTCCTTGTTTCATTTTAACAGCAGGTGGAAAAGTCTCTAAACAGAAGCAGTACAAGCTCTGTTGCTTGCTACATTGAAAACTAAATAGACAATACACTAGCAAGGAATTATAGGAAGACAGGGAATTACAGAGAGATAGACTAGATGACCTGACCTGATGATTGGATGACTATCCCAGTCTAATTTCTAGTAGTTCATAATTTACTCCACATATTCTTAGGCTGAAAGAAAGGACATAAGACCCCAAACATAGTAACTTTAATGCAGATCTACTGCATAGTCAAAACCAAACTGTGTTGCTCATAGCAGCCACTAACTTTTTATCCCAAGCACACACTATTTTCATGCAAAATTTAACTTTTCAACAGATTTTTTTAACCACTAGACACATAATGCAACAGCTTTGAAAAGACAGAATTACAGTCAATTTGCTAGGTTACATCAATATCTATATTTCCCTTATTCCCTATACAAAAGTAGTTATGGCAGTCTGGTATTGCCATGCCAGTATAGTTTCTCTTCCACTTTTTTCTTTTTCCACTGGCAGAAAAGCAGCATCTTAAAAGTCTTCCTGAAAGTCTTATTACAGAGGGCATAACACATGGGGTTAACGGTGCTGTTCACATAGCATAGCCAATATCCAAGGTGCCACAATGTTACTGGAATGCATTCAGGGCAAAATGTAGAGATCAAAACCATGATATTATAGGGAGTCCAGGTCATAATAAAAGCCAAAAGAATGGCACTTAAAGTCTGTGCTGCTTTGCGCTCCTTTATAAGAACCATCCGTTTCCTTTTGGTGATTTGGTTATTTATATTTGGATCCATGCTTTTGATGGAAGGATCCTTTGACAGAGCAGCAGAACAAGGAGTTATTTTTACTTTTTGGCAACCATTGTTGGCTTCCTGAGTGCCATCAGCCTTAACCACCAATCGGAATTTATAGGCTACACATTTTTTACTTTTCTGTATGTGGTCTTTGGCAGGTGACAAAAAGTATTTCTGGTTCTCAAAATCATTTTCTTCAGGTTGGTCTTTGATGACAACATCTGTACTCTCATTAAACTCTTCTGCCTTAGATGGACTTCCGTAAGTTACTTGGAAAACTGAGTCAGTGGCAAGTTTATCCTCCTCTTCTGATGATGCGTAGCTGCTGCAGGTGGTTAACTGGTCAGCCTTAGCCCAGTCGATACAAGTACTTGCTGCCTGAGATGCTTTCACTGTGGCTGATGTACTTCGACTAGATGAAGACCAAGAAGCCTGACACCTCTCTCTTTTGACTAAGTTTTGTTGCTTGCAACTGAAGCAAGACTTCAGGAGAGCTTTCTGAGGCTTTATTGTCTCAAACTCTGCCACAGACTCTGAACCCTGCAGTTCAGCAAGGTCCTTGGTACGTTTCTCTGTCTCTTTATAGATGCGGCAATACAGAATGGTCATCACAGACACTGGAATGTAAAAAGCAGCAATTGCAGTACCAAAGGTGACAATGGGTTCATCTAGAAACTGTATCTGGCATTCCTCAGGTGGTACTGTTCGTTCACCAACAAAATACTGCCAGCACAAGATTACAGGTGCCCACAACACGAAGGAAATTAGCCAAGCCAGACCAATCATGATGCCAGCTCTTTTGGGTGTGCGTTTGGCCCTGTAAGTTAAAGGCCTTGTGATAGAAAAATATCTGTCAAAACTGATGACTAGGAGGTTCATTACTGAGGCATTGCTAGCTACATAGTCAAGTGCTAGCCACAGGTCACAGGCAAGGCTTCCAAGAGACCAATGGCCTATGAGTATATAGGATGTATACAAGTTCATAGAAAATATCCCAATGATGAGATCTGCACAGGCGAGGCTGAGCAAGTAATAATTGTTGACAGTTTTGAGCTGACTGTTAACCTTAAAGGATATCATTACAAGAATATTTCCCACTATGGTTATTAAGCTTACAATTGCAGTTACCGTGGCAATAGTAATGACTTCCCAGAGGCTATGCCCCTCTAACTGCTTATGGTTGATTGATGAACTGTTTACAACAGTGGAATTGCTGAATAAATTGACTTCCATTCTTGTTCTTGGTGTATTGTCATCAGGATCTTAACACTGTTGCATATTGCTTTCTGTATTCAAAAACATCCTGTTGGAGATAGCTAAAATGATCAAAGGAGAAAAAAAACAAAATGAAAGTACCTCATTAAATAGCACAGACTTCCATTAGAGTTACCACAAAAACATTTGTAAAACAACCTATTAAATTATTTGTGTTCGCCTTTTGCATTTAGGTTATTCTTCCTACCACAAATGTTCACCCTAAGACAATGTCCTCTGACATTTTATGACATTTCAAAATGCAATGTAACTATTGTTTCATAAGATAGTCAATCACATCAGCTCTTACATTTTGAATACTTTAGAAGACACTCTGCATATTCTCAAAGACAAACATGTCAAGTTTTGCAGTGCAGTAAGACAGTGAGTCACTGTGTTATTTCCCACAGTACTATGTAGAAGGCATGTCAAGATTTCAGAAATGATCTTTGGAAAATTTTGAAAAGTGACCATCAACAGAAAGAGAGCAAGAGAAAACTGAGGATGCATAGGGAATTAGGAACCACACTGCCATGATGACAGCAAGAAACAATTAAGTGTTAGAAGTGCTTGAGTCAATTGAAGGGGAATCTGAACTAAGAAAGCAGGCAAGGTCAGGAAGAAGTTTCTGGAAAAATAAGTTAAGCAGGAAAGATTCTTCTCCATTAAGAGATCTCAGGACAGAGGAGACTGACTGGGTTAGATGTGGAACTACAGTCTGGGTAGTTTGGTGAGTGGATGGTAGGGTTGAGAAAGGAGTAAACCAAAGAGGAAGAAGCAATAGATAACCACAGTGACAAAGAATGCTACAAAACCAATTTAATAAAAAATTTTTAACTTGCATAAGCAGCAAAAGGTGAAAATAGGACCACTCTATTAATGCATACATATATGTCTGACATCCACTCCTTCCTACATTCCTCAGTGCTTTTTTCTTGTGCCAGTGAATACATGCCTGTATTAGGCAAAATTTCTTTCACAGATACTCTCTGGATTTTGAGTAATTCAATCACATAGATGATGCTAATGTCTTGCAAAACTGTAATACTGGAATAGTCAAATAGTACTTAGTTTTTAAAATCAGAAACGAAAGAAAAAATATTAACATGTTTTTCTACTGAGCATGTAGCTAGTGTAAAACTGGTAAGATGATCCCTTTTTTCAAAGCAAACACTGGTTCATCACTATTAAAGTCCAGCTCTAAGCTGTTAGGATTCTCTCTGAATCAGATCTCTATCTGTGATCCTCCCTATCCATCCATACCACTTCTATATGTTTTCATCTTTCATCCTAACTCTCAGAACATTGTTATCTTTGGCCTTGGCAAGTAGCTTCCACAGCCTATCCCTTTCCCACATCTATCTTTTGTATACCAAGTAGTTGGGTCCTGTCTCTTATCAACTGAATACAGGGTTTTACAGCTACTAATTGAACTTTCAGAAAAGCATCTCATTTTCTTTCATTGTCCTCTTTGCCCAGGGAAGTGGTTGAGTCACTATCCCTGGAGGTGTTTAAGAGGCATCTGAACCTGGTAGTGGTGATATGGGTTTAGGGGTTACAGTGGCAGTGTTGTGTTGGTGGGTGGACTTGATGATCTTAAAGGTCTCTTCCAACCTTGATGATTCTATGATTCTTATTTTCTTTCATTGTTTCCTTCACTTTTGTCCCTGGTCTCCTAAGTATCCACAGAAGTTTATCTACTTCAGTCTGTATCTTTCTACTTCAAACCCTACCTAATTATTATCTCTTGCTGTGATGAAACTGGGTAATGGCAAGCTTCCTGTGACTTCTGTGTACCGTGCTCCTCAAAATGCTTCTCCTTCATCTGTGTGTCTGTCATCTCCTGTCTTATATTTAAATATTTGTGCATCTGTATTCTGTTTATACACAGCATATATTGAACCTAATTCAACAGGATTCTAGTTCATGTATGGGCCTTGAAAAGTAGCAATACTCATAGTATGTGCACGCTGACCATCTAATTGCTCGGCTCTCTCTCTCCAACCTGCAGAGCTAGTCTAGCAGCCAAGAAGAGCTGAAGTGCCACAGCAGTCCTAATGAGCCCTATGCAAAGGAAGACATTTCATCCTGATTTTGCATTCTGCAAAGACTTCCCCTAAGTCAGAGTTGCCCTGATGGCTGGCCGTGCTGGCTTTACAAACCTTTACACAACCTTGAAGAGGAGGTTCATTTAGTGTGAAACAAAGGTGTGTGGAGCAGCTGTATGGCTGTGATAGGTAGCTGAGTTGTGAGAGACAAATCTGTCTCTACTACCTCATGTATTGTGGACAGTCAGCAGAGTTGTTCTGCACATTAAAAGTTCCATGTGACTAAATTTTTAAGTAAGGCAGAGTGGTAGTGGTTTTAGTGTGGCAATGTCAGGGGGTGGTGAGGGCCATTTGCTTAAGCAAAGGAAGGTGAGCCACGGGTGGAGCATGATGCCAAGGCAGGTGGGAGCTATGACCTCACCAAGAAGCAGCAGGATGTGGAGAAGTACTTTTGATTCTTGAGAAGGCCAGTGATGGTGATGAGAGTCAAACATAGTGCAGTGATTGCACAACAAGTCTGTAGTGATGAGGAAAGGCCAAGAGCAATCCAGGAAGCCCAGCCAGCAGGTCTGAGTCAGGACTGAGGAAATAGGAGAGCAGCTGTAGATGTAGCTGCTGCATGTCAGTGGTACAGCCTCGGCTTAAAAGCAGTTTCCAAGAAAAAGGAGAGAGAGGGGCTGTTATTTCTAACTTTCTTCACAATAGGTCTTATCAGCAGAACTGCTGACCTTGGATTCAGCCAGCTAAACTCTAACATAGCCAATGGTACTCCTAGAGCGGGACTGTGCTCCGGGCCTCGACAGCTAATGTACCTGAAACACTGTCAGGGCTCATGAATTTTAACAAGTTGCAAGACACCAGCTAAGGCTAGAAGTTGTCTTAAAGAGGCACAAGCTAAGAACATCAAGCACATGGATCAACATACACAAACTTCTACATCTGCCTAACATCTGGGTATGAGCAACTGCATAGGAGATTGTTTCAACTTTCAGCCTTTTTTTTGCCAGAAGATAACACTTTTCCCAGAGGAGAGAAGACAAGAAATTGTCTAGGTGCTGTCGCCTTTAATGTTTTGTCTTTGCCACAGGTAGCAAGCATCCCCCCCTCTTAGGTCACTTACTGTCCCTAACATAAGGATTTAGGAAGAAAGACTGCTGAAACTGTGCCATGTGGATGGCAGACTTCAGAGCAAAAGGAGAAGCAAAAGTTTTTGTTGTCCTGCTCTTGGTTTGAACTGACATGTGTGGCAGAAACACTGGTAATATGGTACAGAAACTACAATTAATTTCTTAATAAAAAGCAGTCTTATTATTGTCATGCAAAAGCTTTCCCTTCCTAATAGACTATTTTACTGTAATGTCTATAAAAGCTGACAGCAGCTAAGCTACTAGTATGCAAAGATCTCTTCTTGGCATATTGACCATTCTTGTTACCTCTTCATACTCTATAATCTTTTGTTTCAGAGGTCTGTGTTAACATTTCATGGCATTACCTTTTGTCATATATTTGTGTATTACTCGTGGCAATAGTGCCTGTGAGCAGGACTCCTGTGTGCTATGGTAACATAATTTATGTTAATTGTCTATCTTAGAGATGAAAATAATAGGGAGATCAAAATTAAATTACAAAATCAAAATGCATATGAACAGTATTATGACTTTGCTATGTCTCATAATTATTGATGCATAATGTTCATGCTTATGAGCTGTAATGGTATTTTCTATTTGTTGCCAAATATTAATGGTATTTTTTCAATCTATCTAATCAAGTATTAATTAATGTGAGTTGTTAAATTTGTACATATAGTCAGCTTCCAGTTATCTGCAGGCAGATTGTTCATGTCACAGATTAATTGCACCACAGATGCAGGCACAGCTTGGGTTCGCCAGGTTTTATTAGCTCTGTCTCATTCTGTGTCTGCCAGACCTGTGCTGGCTGCACGAGAATTGCTTGGATGTCTTCGCAAAATTCTTGCCAGTGCTGCTCCCTGTTATTTTATTTATTTGTGTGTATGCTAAGCTAATTTACTGATTCGCTACATGTCATGCCCCAGAACTAAGCAGCCCTTACCAAAGGTAGTAGTGCAGAGTAAGTACAGTCCATGATTTCAGAAAATGGGATTGTGGTCACATTTTCCTGGAAGGGCTACTGAGTTTAAAGACCTTCAAAACCAGATTGATATTTTAATGTGTGTTGTCAAATGACAGCCTGCACGCTCAAGAGCAATCTGGCAAGCTAGTGTTAGAAACTTGGTGAACTTTCCCAAGGGCACATGGGTGGCTACTTAGTTCAAGATGAGCAGAACAAACCAGCATGGCACAAAGCTTCCCATGTCTCTGCTCTGTATCCTCAGAGGAGGACACTCCTCAAGTGGCTGCAGAATCACCTCACAGGGTTCACGTAGCGTAGCTTTCTGTGTAACACCCTGTCAGCCTGAGATCAGTTGTTTTTTTCCTCATTTGCTACAGAAAGCTAAGGTCCTGTATTTGTGTCACAACAACCCCATGCAATGCTACAGACTGGTGGAAGAGCGGCTGGAAAGTTGCCCAGTGGAAAGGGAGCTGGAGGTGCGGGTCAACAGCTGGCTGAACATGATCCAGCAGTGTTCCCAAGTGGCCAAGAAGGCCAACGGCATCCTGGTTTGTATCAGCAATAGTTTGGCCAGCAGGACCAGGGCAGTGATTTTCCCTCTGTATTTGGCACTGGTGAAGCTGCACCTTGAGTCCTGTGTTCAGTTCTGGGCCCCTCACTATGAGAGAGTCATTGAGGTGCTGGAGGGTGTCCAGCAATGGGCAAAAGAGCTGGTGAAGGGTCTGGAACAAAGCAGGAGCGGCTGAGGGAGCTGGGTTTGCCTAATCTGGAAAAAAGGAGGCTCAGGGGAGACCTTACAACTTTCTACAACTACCTGAAATGAGGTTGTAGCCAGGTGGGGCTCATTCTCTTCGCCCTGGCAG